CAGTTCAGTTTGTGACCTCTCTACAGTACCGACGAGGGTTGAACGCCTCTATGGATGAAACCTTTGGTAGTTATAGCGGCCTAAATCTTCAGGTGGGACCAAATACTAAACCAGCTGGTTTTGTTAGTAGCGAACAGTTGCAGGAGATCCTACAGGAACTCAGCGTGGATGCAATCACGGAAACCACGCTTCGATCTCCCGATCAGGCGCCCAGGATACCTTCTCAGCAAAAACTGACCAGAGACTCTACACTCTCCCCTCTCTCCCCACGGACACCCTGCTCCCTTCCCTCTCCTGCACTCTTTCGCTACCCTAGCATCTCGCCTTATACCATGAGAAAAAGGCGGCGGCCCTTTCACTCCTCCAGAGGAGGTTTAGCTCCTCCCTGCTTCTACACAGGCTCTGAGGTTCCTGGCTGTGCAAGAGCAAGAGACACATGTGCGCTCCCAAGTCCAGAAGATATTACTGTGGATGATAACTGTATCCCACATCACAACAGTGACCTTGAAGAGGGAAAGGAGGAGGAGGACACGAAAGTGCGTGAAGTAGTGAGAACATGTCAGAGGTGTGTTTCAAGGCTCCCGAGATGTTCGGTCGTGCATTGTGAAGAACAAAACCGTAAAGCTCCAGAGGATGTGGGAGCAGGCGGTGATAACGAGCAGCACCGCAGACACATTCGAGACTCATGTGGGTACTCGGACTCAGACTCCAGCAGCTCAACCGATTACTGCTACTACCACCGTCCTTACTGTGACTCCTGCCTGCAGCGAGGCTCCCTCCTGTACTCAGACAGCTCCTCAGACTCCTCTGACAGCGAGTATGATGACTACTTGAGCCTCTACCGCTCACCACGCCCTGTGGTATTCAAAGAAGACCTCAAACCCACCTTCGTATGAACACGTTTACTGCACTTTACACATTTATCCAGTTCCAAAACTTGAATGAATATTCTCAGAAAGGTTGCTAAAACGGATGTACTTCTGTGATGGGGGACATTCGACAGTAGCTTACAGTATAGGAACTTTACATCCCAGAGATTGCTGTTTTTCTGTGTTGCACCATAGGTCACAGTGACTGATTCATGAGACTAAAACTTTTGTAGCTTAAAAACACATAATGCTGTTTACTTTTTATAGTTACTTGTGGCATTATTTGGATTATTTGGATTACTATTTCTACTGTCTGATGAAAACCTTTGACACTTACAGTACTGTGCAAAAGCCTTGAGTTACTCATTTATTTATATTTAGTTTCTTTTAATTCTTTGAGTGGTTCTGAAGGACATTTGTCTTTGGACATTGGCTGCTTTTTCTTTCTTTTTCACATGAGACGCATGTTTTTTTCTGTGTTTGTTTTTTGTTAATCTTTTTAACACTTACCTTTGAATAATTCAAACATAAAAAGTGTTTGATGACAATGATAACAGACAACTTATCAAAAAAAATTTAAATTGTATGTTTAGGCACTTTGTTACTAGCAGCCGTTCCAAAATGCATAATTTGTTTCCATTTCTTTGATCCATAAAAATAAATGCCGAAGATAACACATTTTCACAGATATAAAACACAGTTTTTGCACCATGAATTGATTCTCAAGGTGCTATCAGCCCACGATATTTCTTATGAATTATAGTTTCAGTTTTCCTCAACATATATGTGGGAGACCAGGAGAGAGGTGCAACAATGAGTGCCTACAGCCATCTGTAAAACACCGCGGAGGCTCTGTCATGGTTTGGGATTTCCTTTCAAGTAGTGGTTTTGGAGATCTTGTCAAAATTGATGGAATTATAAATGCAGAGCCCCGGCTCGGACAGTCTTGGTTGTTGTGTCCTTGTTGTGTCCTTGGGCAAGACACTTCACCTACCGCCTACTGGTGATGGCCAGAGGGGCCGATGGCGCGATATGGCAGCCTCGCTTCTGTCAGTCTGTCCCAGGGCAGCTGTGGCTACAACTGTAGCTTGCCTCCACCAGTGTGTGAGAGTGAATGAATAGTGGAATTGTAAAGCGCTTTGAGGGCCCCAAAAAGCGCTATATAAATGCACTCTATTATTATTATTAAAAAACATCCAAAGAAGAGTTTTTTTGTCCTTCAAGAAGCCTGGAGAACTATTACTGAAGACTACTTAAAGAAATTACAAGAAAGCTTGCCTAAGAGAGTTCAGCATGTGTTAAAGAATAAAGGTGGTCATACTTGTACAAACTCTGTTTCTTTCCTTATATACTGTATTTCTATTTCTATTTATGCATCTATTTCATATTTTCCTGGCAAAATATTGTGAACTGAGGAAATCAGGACTTTTGCACAGCACTGTAGACAGGTGCTTTGTTAGTTAACTCATGTAAGTTCTCAAAATATACTGACAGAAGAGACACAATAATGAAAAATGACATAAACAGGTTTTCGCATAAAAGGTTTTCGCAGAACAAATGTGCGCTCTATTATCAATTGTGCAATTCTGTATTTATTTCTGTATTTATTTGTTGATGATTTGGTGCCCAGAATTACTTTATGTTTCTTTTATTATAAACATTCCTTAAAATGTTGTTATGTTCCTTTGCTGACTCTGAGTTTGAATTTACAATGTGCATTCTGTGAATGTGAGTGCTGACTTGATGTTAAATACTAAACCTCACCTTTATATGATTTCCATGTTAAATGCAACATTTTCCCTGAGTTAAAATATTTGCCAGGCTTCCCATCACTTAAATCTCCACCATGATTTCACCACATTTTCATGGGTTTTCCTGAAACACAGACAAAAGCCTTTTCTGCCTCGTATCTTTCATGTCTCTTTTATAGCTTGCCCTTCACTTCCACTCCCTTCTGCTATCTACTCTCTGTCTTTCTCGTATTTTTTTCCTCCACTAATGGGAAAATGTATGTTTGCCGGGGGAGGTGTTGCTATGAAGGCAAAACAGTGTCTTGCGTTACTTCTGCTCAGCTGCCTGCTTTTAAGATGCTGCTGCTCTCTGTTCAGCATATGAACCATTGAAGGCCAGCCTGGGAGAAACTCCCTTTGATACGGAGAATAAAACCCACACGCATACACACACACACCTGCATAAAAGATACACTAGCAACTGTATCACTGTGAACAGGGAAAGACTTTCCTGCCCTTTCTGGATTCTGCATTCGATAGACTTTATTGCCATTTCATGAAATGCAGCACACATATAATTAGAGTTCAGTACAGTTAGTGACACTCACATGCATTTGCAGAAAAGAACAAGATACACCTTCAGCGATTTTAGATCACCAGACAAACATAAACTGCATGAATTCCAACCTTTTTGGTGGTTTGTTAACAATAACTGCTTTATAGATCAGTAATAAATCACAGTTCTAGATTATTTAGAATATTTTTGACTCAGTGATACAACATTCAATTATTAACACCTCATTTAAAATTTATATTAATGGTTTCTTCTTCTTCTTTTGCATGCTCCCTTTAGGGGTCACCACGATGGATCATCTGCCTCATTCTCACACTATCCCTAAATCCTCCTCTGTCACATCAGCCATCTGCATGTCCTCTGTCACCACAGCCATGAACCTTCTCTGTGATCTTCCTCTTTTTCCTCCAGCCTCGCAGCTCCATTTTTAAAATATATCTATTATCCCTCCTCTGCAAGTCCTCTCATCCTTGTCTCTCTGACTTTGTCTCCAAACCTACCATCAGCTATCATCTTGTAAACCTTCCCTTTCACTCATGCTGCTTTTGTCACAAATCACCCCTGACACTCGTCTCCACCCAGTCCACCCTGCCTGCACTCTCTTCTTCACTGTCCGTTGCTTTGGATTTTTGACTCAGTGTAGTTAAACTCATCCACCTTCACTACCTCTGCTCCTTGCAGCTTCACTATTATTAATTAAAATCGTTCATAAATATTATGTCAGTGGAAATCAATAGCCCTCTCAAGGGTAAGAGGAAAGAGAACAGACAAAGAAGATCATGGAGAGACAAGGACAAAACACAATGGCAGAGAGAAGAAAAAAGTTAATGCCATGCTGGAGTGGTATGTAAATGCAGCTGTAGCATAAAGCCATAAGAGAAGAAGAAATGCTCATTGCATCTTAGCAAGTCCCCCAGCAATATTGCATCATAATCAAGACATGGTTCGGGGTCACCTGATCTAGCCCTACCTATAAGCTTAAAAGAAAAAAGGAGAGTTTTAAGCCAAGAGTAAAGAGGGTATCTGTCTCCTCAAACTGGGAGCTGAGTCCACAGGGGAGATTGCTAGCTGAAGGTTTTGCCTATGATTCTCCTTTTAGAAACTATATACATCAAAATATCACCAAAAATTAAGCGGAAAAAAAAAACATCAGTCAAAGGAATCTTCAGAACCAACTCATCCATTAGGTACCTTTATTAAATAAATAATAGCAAAAGCTTTGTTTATCTTGCATCTTTAAAACACACAAAGAGACAGCAGTTAAAATGTGAAATCAGGACGTACGATGCTAAACATGTAAGATAAGGTTATAATAGAAGGATGAGACGCGTGCACGCGCACATTATTACATTACTAAGCAGGATGACACTAATTAAAAGGATGTGCCCGAGGGCCGCGTGTGGTAAAAAGTGTTGGGGAGCGATAAAGGAGAGGCTTTTGTAACTAACATAGCAACAGTGCTGCATGACCACCGGTGCTCCGTGTCCGTGACAGCTGGGTCCATTTGAACTGACAGCCCGGCTTCGGCTCTCCATTGGTGGAAGAAGTCATCCATCCCGGGAACGGGCCCGCCCCTTGTCCCCGACGCGGCACATGAAAAAAGCCTTTGAAGTCGCGAGGGCGGTGCCGAGCAAATTATGCCATGTGGTGCTCGAGAGCGGGGTTTTCATTGGACGGCGGTGAAATGGTCGCCGCCCATTTTTGAAGGATACCCTTTCTGATTGGCTCAATCGGCCACCCCAGATTCGCCGTGCGCGCGTTCACAGTTTTCCTATTCTCCCTCGCGAGTTACGTCAGCAGCGTGAACGTCTTTCCGTGACGCCGGAGCAATCCCTCGAACAATTTGCGGAAACGGCGTACCTACCATGCGCAGCGACAAAGACTGCGAGCCTGAAACCTATGGGGAAGGAATAAAAAAAGAAATTTCGTATCGTCGCACTCTGAGCTTAAAGACCAGTATTTTCTGAGGAGCTCGCCGGCCTGGGGTCTCGGTAAAGACACCGAAATTTAACCGAGGCAAGGCTGGATTTAGAGTCGGCGTACGGCTAGTGAATTCGCTGAAGAAGACTGTAGCAGCTGGCAGATTTTCCGTTGGACCGTCTGTAGGCTAGGGTAGCGAGGGAGCCGCCATGGCAGTCGGATCATTGAGCCTCCACATCGGGATATGAAGTGGAACTGCATGTGTCCCGAATCGTTAAGAAAACGCCGCATTTGTCACCGATCCGCACCGGATCAGTATCTGAACTAACCCTTCTTCATCTCCGTGAAATCGATTCCGCACCCCGAAAGAAATTACCGCTGGTTTTTAACCGTGGGGCCACAGGGAGAGGCCAGATTCATGACTATTTTAGTCGGATACGTGTCTTCAAAGGCCCGCTGAAAGAAATCCTGGAGCACAAGGAGGAAACGATGCTCTGATAGACCGTCGGTGGAAAAGAAAAGGGTCATTTAGTGGCGATACGAAGTAGTGTGAAGGATTCCTGGGATAAGGGGATCTCTTTCTGGCTGACCTCCCCGTGAATTACAGTGATATTAATTTACTGTCATCCCCCCCTCCTTTTTTTTTTATTATTTTTTATTTTTGATGAGAAGGTTCGGCGAATCGATCAGCTCCGCCGTTTAAGCAAGTCACAGTCGAGAGAATCAAGGGGATCGTCGGATCATGTCGGGTCGGCCCAGGACCACATCTTTCGCCGAGAGCTGCAAGCCAGTGCCGCAGCCTTCAGCTTTCGGCAGCATGAAAGTCAGCAGTAAGTACACCCGTGTAATTCTAGAGTGGCAGACTTTTCCTGCACGCACCAGGCCCACCGTGGGCTGCATATGCTCGCTTAAGTGTCCTCTCACTAACTAGACTGGAAATGTGTCAAGTTAGCATACGGTTAGCTCCGGGAAGCTTATCTCTGTCATATATGTGTGTCACAGAGCGAGACAGTGGATGGTGCTGAGCGGCACACACTGCTGCTCGCCCCGATGTTGGCACACAGCGTTACGCGCTCTGTCGCGCCGCCCCGGGGCCGGTCAGCCGGAGCGGGGTTAGCAGGCCGCGCCGGGAAGGGCCGGGCCATAGGAAGGTAGTGTTGGCACAGGCCCAGGTCAAAACCAAGCCTTCTCCTTCCACCGCAGATCCGGCCTGATTATTGTCCATTTGAATGTAGATTAGATCGCGTAGAGATATTGCCACACAGCACCAATCACATGCGTAATGGAGTTAAAGCGATAGGTCCGGTCTATTACGCAACTGTCAGAACGGAAGGTGCGCCCGTAGTTGAGTCGGGCAAAACTGACGCGATCCTACGGGGGGTGGTTTATTAGCCCTGTTTCCACTACTTCCACGGGCCGTGTCGCGACGACCGGAGGGAGTGTGACATCGAGTATCCTGTTCATGAAGCCACGGTGGCACGGTGCCGGAGACCGCTTATAGACTGGCTGCAGAGAGGAAGCCATGCGACTGACTAGGCCTGTCAGCTGAGCAAGTGGCGGGGTGGGGGGCTGGCAATGTGGGTGCTAGACGCCTCTCCTTCGTCTAGTCTATCCATCACCACGATGATCTCAAGGCAAGGCGCACTCGCTCCCATGCTGAAGATACTACTGCTGTGTTGGTTATATTTAATGGCCCAGTTAGAGCTCAGTCAGTTTAAATAACATCAAATTAACACTTTACATATCTAAAAGTCTTTTCATTGAAATTAATTTATAAGTATAGCATCTTTATTATTAATGAGTATCGACTGTCATAGATGGACACTTGCACAGTTCCTAGTTACACCCCTGTCTTATCTGACACACAGATGGGTGGGGTGGAGTGGAGTGGGGTGTGAGGGCACGTACCTGTTAAAGAATGCTGATGGAGCCTTAAGGCTGTGATGTGAGCATGATGTATGTCAGGCGGGTGAGGCCTGAGCTCAGGCTCATGTCTGGGCCTTGGTGCTGGAAACCGATTAGTGCACTGTGACACACATACACACACCAAACCCAAGCCTAATTCTTGTCTCACCCCAGGTGCATGTATGGGTCAGGTCTGCTAAATGTGAGAATTAATTTTTTCAGACAAAAGTTTTGGAGACTCATCTGGTGACTCGGTACTTTTTTATCAACTAAAATAATAAGCTGAACCTCTAGTTGCTCAATTAAATAGGTGTTTGATAATCTGATGTCTAACAGCAGGTGGTGTTCATCTCCATGGAGGAAAGTAGAGTGGCTGATTGCTCAGATGTCCCCTGTTGTAAAATTTTTCAGTATTTTGTCTAGTGTCAGTTATATCGTTATCGCAAATTTTCAAATGTATGACGTGATAAATAGTTTTGGTCATATCGCCCTGCTCTAGTTCCCAATCTTTAACGATCAAGGATGACAGCAAATCTAAATCACTGAGTTTTATTTTTTCTTGTAACAAGCAGCTACATATAATTTAACTTTCTTTTTAGTTATAGTTTTAATCTAAGGTAGGCTCTGTCACACAGAGGTATGTGGTACGCAGTTTCAGTTGTATAAAAACTGTACTTTGGACTGTGTCACTTAGCTGGAATCTACCTAGACTTGTTTTTTCATCCGGTCCAGGATGTCATCCACTATTATCCTTTCCTCCACCATCCTATAACACACACACACTTGGATAGATATATGCACTCAAATGTGTGTGTAATAACTTGGCTGATGGTCCTAAACAGCTGTAGCCACTGCGTATGATCCTGGAGAGAATGCTCTTATCCCTCCTACACAGGCAGACGGAAACACACATGCATATACATACATACAGTACATTCACACACCCACTCGAGCACCCTCAGGTTTTGTATTTTGGGGGGTGAGGCAGCTGGCCAGGAACAATGAGCAGCTTGTTTAGCATCTCAAAGCAGCAGCTCTCTCTTCCTCTTTTCTCCTTTTTCCTGTCTGTCCCCCTCTCACGTTTTACAAGTGATGACGAGAACAAAATGAACTAATTATACTCTTTGATTCCAAACGAAACAGCAGGGCTTACAGACGAGACGAGGACCACCGGAATCGCTCAGGGTTTAGAAGAAAGATGAGATCTTTTTTTTTTTTTTTTTTTGTGAGTGAGAGAAAGAGAGAGCGAGAAAGCTAAATAAGATGAGTGTAGTAGTGCAGCAATGGCTCTGCAGGCTGCACGCTACCCTGACATCTACAATCCATGCACCAATATTATGTCTCCATCTCAGTGATTCTTGGCCAAGTTTGCTTTGCATTAGCTGTAACACTCGTTCCAGTAATGCAGTAAATTATCGTGTCAGCTTTACAACGGGGGGGATTCTGCAAAATTGTTTGTACCTGTGTCTGCATTACAGGAGCTGAGGACTGCGAAGCAGCAGATGCGCGTCTGTCATGAAAGACACGTGAATGCAGCATCAGTGGGGGAAAAAATAAAGAGAAATCTATTAATATTAATAAAAAAATGAAGCATAGCAAGGGAAAAATGACAGTGAAATATATACGGTATATACCGGAACTGAGCCAGAATGCCAAAATTTTGTATCTTAATTGCTTTCAACTTGCTTCTAGGAAGCCACTACACTTTAAAGCAATGTAGACTGAAAAAGAGGAGGCTGGAGAGGTGTAGAAGAAAATGCAAGAGCTGTCACTGCCACTTCCTGTTACCTGTGTGAATGCAAACAAAAAAAAAAGGTATTGAAAAGTAGTAGCGACTCCTTAGAACTGTTTGATCCAATGCGTGGATGCTTCTGCTTGCCAGGTTCAGGCATGACGAGGCCTAAATGTTCTCCTGACTCGGCAGTGTAAAATATGGCACACATATCTTGAGCTAGGTTTAAAATCTAAGCTTAGTGATAAGCCCGTCAGGTTTTAGTTACCCTAAAGGTTATAAAAATATCTCTGCGTGCACTCTTCAGGGCTTGCACCTATGTTTAGTTGGGTGTTGATGCTTGGACCTAAGGTTTCCCAGCAGAACACTGCCTTGTAACGAGTCGTCCACAAATCCCCTGTCAGTAGTTCCCTTGCGTAGCTGATTGGTGTGTGAGCAAGTTATTGTGTGCAATTCTTTGCCAAAATTCAGAAAGCGATGGACACATGGGCTGTTTGGCAGGCTTTACATTCTTTGACATTCACTTGTAGTGATGCAACATGAATGGTGTGAAAATTATTATTCGCACTGCAGTAAATACATGACTAATTTTATGACTGCAGCTTGATTACTGCTGCATATTTATACCCCTGTAGTACTTGGAAAGAGTGTGGCTGATCATGCTGTGGGAGTCGAGTGTAAAACTACAAAGAAAATTTCTTTGTTTAGACTTCCGTGTCAGACAAAATACTAATGCATTAACTAGAAGGGGTAAAACTGCTATTGCATTAATAAAAAGAAGCATCTTGTCCAGAACTTGGACCATGGAATAGTGAGCGTGGAGGATTTGTCTTTAGAATTATGCCATGTTATTCTGTTCATTATCAGTGCCAAGGCACTGCTGTATATTAATAGCTAATAACTAGGGGTGCAACGATACACAAAATTCACGGTTCGGTTCGATACTTTGGTGTCACGGTTTGATATTTTTTCGATACAAAAAAATGTTCATGCCTTTTTAATTTGTCATTTATTAAAATTATAAATATATATTTTAACTCAAAAGTACAGTTTTTAAATTTAACCCTAACCCTTGTGCCTGTTTTTTATTTTGACAGCGAATGCGCACCTGCGGACCACTTATGTGCAGCCCTGGTTATTTAGCTCGTCATATTGCAGCCACAGAAATTCTTTTGTCCATGAAACCATAAAGCTGCACTTTCTTTTTGCCTTATAGTCTGATTTGTCATAACTTCTCCGTTTTGTGGTAAGCTTTTCTTTGGCTGTCACTTCTTCACCCTGACCTGTCTTATTTGGCTCAGCAGAACTGAAATATAAATCCTGCTGCTTTTACACACGCACTCACATAAGCTCAGCGATTCTCTGCGCGATCAACCTCTCACATGTTTAAGCTGCGGGAGATTTCACTTGTCATGTTTGCATAGTAAGCTAACAATTAATAAGACGATGTCAGAGGAATTGGTGCACAAATTATCATCACTCACAGATCAGTGCTGTCGCTCTCTACACACAGTTCGCGCGATTGCAAAGTGAAAGCAAAAAAACAAGCGCAAATTCAAACGCGACTTCAATATGTCACATATTGACAGTGGCTCACCGATGCCAATGACATAATTACCCAGCTACATTTCTGAAAGAATGCAAAAGCATTGACATATATTTTTCCTTCCTACAAAAGCCCGACGGGCAGGGCAGAGATAGATTTTGGTAGCCCGACTGAAAAAAATCGCTAGCCCCAGGACGTCGGGCTAGCGATATTGCGAGCCCTGTATCTGATTGAGGAATCACTCATCTTTGGAAAAGAGAGTTTATTGCAGAGAAATGTCTCTTTCCAAAATAAAAGCTATACTATCCGCTTCTTCTGGGCTATATTCTCAGCAGCATATTAAACATATATAAGGAGAATCATGTGCTAACAGCTGTCTAAATGACTCGGCTAAAGTTAGTAGCATGCTTGCTTGTTTTTTTTCTGCTTCCACTTGTCTTTGCACTAGGATGATGTCGGCGTAAATGTGCAGTCATATTCGTTGTGTTCCCACTAGTGCTTTCAGGTTAATCTCGTTGAAATGACCTTAACGCCACAACATGGCAAATCTCCGTTAACGAGCTACCGCCCATCGCCCCGTGCATGGGGCTAGACAGCCAACACGTTAACGAGCTAACTGCGCTAACACACTAGTTCCCACCCATGTAATTGAGCATTGCATGGCACATCCAACATACTGTTTTACTTTAGTCCATGACTCGCTTACCTTCAGGGTCATCCGTCACATGAAAACCAAAATAATTCCAAACGCCAGATCTGAATGAGGGTGGGGGAGGTCCATGTTGCAAGGAGAGCTTAACTTCTGTCTCGCTAGCTTGCCCTGCGCTCTTCCTTCTGACTATGCTGTCTGTGTGGAGCGCTCAGTGGATCTGTGCTCGACAGTGCAGCCTAGGCGGAGTAGTCGAACGCAGATTCACTGAGCGCTCCACACAGACAGCATCGTCAGAAGGAAAGTTGATAAAATAAATTACAAATGTTGTATTGTTCGATACATATGCGTACCGAACCGAAAGCACTGTATCGAACGGTTCAATATCGATACGAATATCGTTGCACCCCTACTAATAACTTATTGAATTATCGTGTACATGCCACAATGTGAGTGCGGTCATTTTGTGGCTAATCTTCTGTTTTGAGGAGGGACTGACAAATAATTTCAGTGGCAATATAATCTTCTTTTTTAGGGGTAAAATTCTGTTGGGCTGTGATTAAAAGAGAGTTTAACGAAACAATAAAGATGTGATTAATATTTGCCAGCCACAGGAAGACTTGAGAGTCAGAACTCAAAGTTCCTTTACTGACTGTGACTGTGGGGAGACGTCCACACAGGGAGCAATTTGTTGTCACGAGGCGTTTAGAGGCCGTAGAAAGTCAGTGACACTCAACGTGACTACGGGCAAAAAAGATCCCACTGGTGACGCGTTGAAGCGACTGCCAGTGAGAGGACAGGATACCGGTGGTTGACATGACCTGGTAGGAAATGCCTTAAAGGGTAACCTCGGCAACTGGAACCTAGAATATCTTCTGTCGACCAACTGTCAGCATCAGACCAGTGATCGCTTCCCTGTGCGGATGCAACCTAACCTGAAAGGGCTACCCTGTCAATCAGCACGTCCTTCCCTCTCATTGGTAGCTGCTTCATTTTCTCACCTCAGGTTGATGAAAGTTTAACGCAGGATCCCCCCACCTTGCATTGCCAGCAGTTATTTTGCTCCACATCACCTGAAGTTGCTGAATATTGTTGACTATTTATGGTCTCTTGTTGCCAAGATGCTGCTGGTTGCTTCCTTTGTGGATGCCCCTTAAAAGTACTTCATTGCCCTCCACCAGAGAAAAATAAATGACAAAAAGACAGAATAAAAGTGTTGCTTTTAGGCAACACTTTACAAACTTAATCACGTTACTTATCCCATAATAAGCTTCAAATAACTGCAAGTCCTTATTTATTATTCATGTCAGGAAAATTAAGATGATCCACAAGGCTGTAAGTTAAAAAGTAGTTTTTTTCCCCTTGATTTGATTTAGATAAACACAGATGAATTTATGACATTTGCTCAGGTAGTTTTTCAGCAGCTTTGATAGAAATACAGGGTTACACGTTTTTAACAGCAGCAGCCGCACACGTGTCCTGTGACTGCTCAGCAGCAGTGTTGTTGTGCGCACGCGTTAGCCATATTCAGCCGTGGCCTGAACTAGTCTGCTGACCTGAATCGAATATTGATGCCGCTGGCTAAACGTCGCATTGCAACAACCGTCTCTGCTCTGTCACTTTGTAGATATATAATACAGCATACGTACATGGAGTGATGCACTGCGATTTATGTATTAACTAGTGTACTTGTCGCAGGCTGACTGATAAGTTAACAATTCCCGCGCATGCTTGAAGATGTTTGTTGTTGCTCTGATTTCTCTGTTATTGGTGCAAAATTCATGTTTGGTTATATTTAAAGAACTCTTTACATGTAATAGAAGTTTTTACCAAATACTTTTGCTTGTTGGGGATAGTTTATTATAGGGATGGACAGATTATTGGTTAAACCAATATTGGCCTTTTTTACTGTAGAAATATTGGTAGAAATGACTGTTTATCAATGCCTGGATCTATTTTTTTGTCTCCCCAATGTTTTTTAGTTTTCTAAAAGTTAAATGACAAAGTGATTAAGAACTAAACTGCAGTTAAAGTTTTTAGGATTTTTTTAAATTTATTGTAGTAAAGATTTGCTTGTTTTCCTGGTTTATTGTTTACTTATTAGAATAAATAGGTGCCCTTTGCTTTATAGGAAGTTACATTTCTTCTCACATGTGAACTGAAGGTAATTCCTAATTGTGTGCAATTGTAATAGTTTCTCTAGTCTGTGTGAAAAGTCCTGCTTCATGCGTGTCCAGTTAGTCACTCAAATGACATTTGATCGCTTGGTCATTCCTTCCTTACGGCAGTGTGGGTTCCCAGTATGTGTTTGTGAGCAGGCACAGACTTTTCTCACGGTTTGAGGAAGTGCAGAGGCGTCATAGAAATGGCCCTGTTGGAATATATGTAGGCAGAGTCATATTCCTCTCTCTGTCCACAGTCCTGGAAAGTCTATTTCTGTTGGTACAGAATCCATCTTTAGTTTCCCTTTCTAGACTTGGTCCTGGAGAGGGAAGCTGTCTCTTTTTTCTTTTTTGGGTTTCTCAGACCCCTCCACTGTTTTCTCCCATTCCTTCCCTATTCTTTGATTGTAATTGCATCTTTGGTAATGGAGCCTCTCGCTGGCCACACAGCAGCAGAATAAGGCTTGCAAACGCACATTAATAATTTTATGTCTGGATTGAGCCCGTGGGGGGATTATTTGCATCGAAATCAATGGTGGTGTTGGAAAATAAACTCAGCAAACCAGTGAAAGTAAGAAATAGGACTGGTTAACCTCCACACCCTCGGTTATAGTTTGAGGTCAAATGTTGATTTGTGGATTAGCAGTGCGGGGTTAATCAGTCCGAGGAAATTGTTGATTCAAAACACACATGCAAACAACCCATGACCTGGTACTTTACTAGAAATCAGCATGACATGCACGCCCACTCAATATGGGTGGACGCAGCGGCCTTCCAGAGTCCATCCAACCAGTTGTGTTTGCTGCCTACCGCTGTGAGAAATTCAAAGAAGAATGCATTTGATATTTTTGACTTGTTTAGGCTCCTCCTCTGAAGTCTGGGTTAAGTTCAGACCTGTCCAGTCATCCTTTTTACTGCCAGCTAATGTAGAGTTTCCTCAATTTTACAGCTCTTTCCACTTGTGCTTTTTTTTTTTTTGTCTGTCTGAGGCTAAAGCTGATAGGCATGACAGTAACACGGTTCAAATGTTCATCAGTAATACACGGTCCTTGCCTGCGTTGTATGACTTGTGAATCGAGGACCAATTTGACGCTTTGATGACCAAAGACAGCCTGCAGCAGAATTCAGAAACGGTGTCAGAGAACGAGTTCTCACAGTGTGACCCACATTTAAAAGCCAGTCCATCACACATGAATCAATACACCAGTCAACTGTCGTTCTGAATAAAGTTCAGTTTGAAGATTTAAAAAAAAAAAAATTTTTATTTTTTAAATGCTTGGAAGCACTGCTGCAGTGGTCACACAGTGGTCTGGTTTTCTGTGAACTATCTTTGGATTTTCAGATGGGGAGCTCTGAGACTCACCTGAAACTCTCAGGATCACGAGCATTTTTACTCTTCTTTCGTGTATTTCAGACAAAATGATTCGGAAAGAATATAATAAATGGGAAAATCAATGTTTTGATCTAATCTACTCGGATCTGAACACTTGTGTGTTGCTTGTGTCTTTGTCTGTATCTGCAGGGGACAAAGATGGCAGCAAGGTAACGACAGTTGTGGCCACCCCAGGCCAAGGCCCCGACCGGCCACAGGAAGTCAGCTACACGGACACCAAGGTCATCGGCAATGGCTCTTTTGGCGTCGTCTACCAAGCTAAACTCTGCGACTCTGGAGAGCTGGTGGCCATCAAGAAGGTCCTGCAAGACAAGAGGTTTAAGGTAAAACTTGTTATGACTGAGAACAGCTGCAGGCGTAATTGACGAGTGTGCATATAAACACAAACTCAATGTTTACCCTCCAAATCACCCTTTTTTTCTTTTCTTTCTTTCTTTTTTTTAAAACAAAAAATCCATGCAATCAGAGTCGAGATGTGTGGCATTAATGAATGTTACGGGGTAACCGTGAAAGAGACATGAATGGAGAGATCTTTCACACGAACGGGGAGATCAGAGAAGCTGTGAAACAAAAGAAAACAAAAGAAGAGCATGAAAGTTTGTCATTCAACACATTCCTACTTTAAAGCGTGTCTTTTCTTCTTCTTGCAGAGAATGTGCGTGTTTGTGTAGTAGTGGAGCGGAGGTCTTTTCTCACACCGACAAACTCAAACACATAAATACTCCGTCATCCGTCAGCTTGCAAATGTCATGTTTCTTTCCAAGTAGAGCTCTGCTGGAAATCTCCTCCTGTGCTTTGAATAGATTTGGCTGATGGCTCGTTGTTCCTTCATTTGGGCAACATTGTCTTTGCTCCACTGGTTCATGGCCTCCGCTGAGTGTATATGGGTGGAAATAAGTGTCCCGAGGATCATGCGGATAGGATGTTTACATGAAACACACAAACTTGATAATAAGATGTATATAAGCAACATTAGCTGGGATTATTTTTGAGTGCTTAGGATAGCATATTTGGGTCTCTCTGACTGGTTAAGGGTTTGTCCTTGTTTCAGAAATCAGGATATGATGTTTATGTGGCAAAGACAAAATGGGATGCTTCAAAAACTCATGTTCATATAAACAAACTCATTGTCCCTGCCACTAGACCTCAGAAAGCAACGCTTGCAGAAGAGCTGTTTAGAGTTTCATCAAGTTTAAAGGCTTTAAAAAATGAGCTTCCACAGTATTTTAAGTGTGTGATCAGGCTGGGGTTAAACTGGGTAACAGCTCAAAGTGTTAATCTTGCAGTTGGTTATTTTATACATATGTATAATGTTTGTTAAATGGTTTAAATTCAAACCAGCGCTTCTTAACCTATTTCTGGGATGCTTCAAAAGCAGCCATAAACTCTAACACTGGGATCAAAGTTTTATTTATTAAAATATACATTACCAGGATACCATCAGTCAACTCGTGTTTGTTTCACTTTCACCAGAAAAATGATATCTGTTAACTTAGCTGGACTCCACATTTTTACCCAGGTCACCTTCACTGGTTCTCTTCCTCACCACTGAAGCCAGTGCAGTCTAATTAGGGATGTTATTGGATTTAGTGATACCAATACTATTATTGAGTCTGCTTAAAGGGCTTATTCTTTATCGATTCTCTTATTGATTGTTGATCAATTTTCTGAAAAATGGAGGCCCATTCTTGTTTTCAGCAGCCAGTATAGCAACAAAATATAAAAATAGCTTATGTTAGACTCAGGTACTCAACATGCTAAAGGAAGTTATTAAGCTTGCAGGTGTGTGATTATGGTGTACTGGACAGTTTAGTAGTGGTTCTTAACTGGAACTTGGTTCTTGAAATGTAAATGTATAGTAGTCACGTTTCAGTTTCTTTAGGCTCCAGTCACACAGGATAGAAATCGGTCGGCAACCAAATGCAAACTTCAATTCAATTCCATTTTATTTATATAGCGCCGAATCACAACAACAGTGGCCTCAAGGCGCTTTATTTTGTAAGGTAGACCCTACAATAATAGATACAGAGAAAAACGCAACAATTATATGAGCCCCTATGAGCAAGCACTTTGACAGTGGCAGTGGGAAGGAAAAACTCTTTTAACAGGAAGAAACCGCCAGCAGAACCAGGCTCAGGGAGGGGCGGCCATCTACCGTGATCGGTTGGGGTAAGAGAAGGAAAACAGGATAAAAGACATGCTGTGGAAGAAAGCCAGAGATTAATAACAAGTATGATTCAGTGCAGAGAGGTCTATTAACACATAGTGAGTGAGAAAGGTGACTGAAGAAGAACTACTCAATGCAGCATCCATTCAGGGCGACCTCAGCCCTAACTATATGCTTTAGCAAAAAGGAAAGTTTTAAGCCTAATCTTAAAAGTAGAGATAGTGTCTGTCTCCCGAATCCAAACTGCAAGCTGGTTCCACAGAAGAGGGGCCTGAAAACTGAAGGCTCTGCCTCCCATTCTACTTTTAAATACAGTACAAGTAGGTCTGCAGTGCGAGAGCAAAGTGCTCTAATAGGGTGATATGGTACTACAAGGTCATTAAAATAAGATGGGGCCTGATTATTTAAGACCTTGTATGTGAGGAGCAGGATTTTGAATTCAATTCTGGATTTAGCAGGGAGCCAGTGAAGGGAAGCCAATATGGGAGAAATATGCTCTCTCTTTCTAGCCTTTTTTTGATGAACTGAAACCACTGTAAGCTACGGGAAATGCTGGTGAGTGGTTGCTACCTCCTTGGAATTGTCTTGGTTACAATAAGACAGCTTGTAGTTTGCAAGGGAGACGCAAACGTGTCCACAAACAGTGCCGCTGTGCACAGACTGGTGGTGAAACTGTGAAAAGTACAATACAAATGGAAACAAAGACGCTTAGCCTTGAAAGTAGAAGCTACACCTTTATGAAACATGTCAGCAGTAAAGCTTAATTTAGGCTTCTGCAGGAAATTTACGTCTTAACTTACATAGTAACTCCTTTTACCTCCACACTGCAACCTTTCACACCACTCGAGTGGTTGTGGTCGTCGACCCAACGTGTAGTTACTTTTCTCAGGAGGTGCCTGTCTGGCGTAGAGTTAAAATAGGATTCCGGTTATTGCGTACGTTACAATGTAGATCTGACGCAGGAGTATAATTTACATGTTAGGCTTAAACTTGAACTTTGTGTTTGTGTCAATGCAAACTAAGGGTGACCATGGCTGCCTGCTAGCCACGCAAGGAGGATTTTTTTTGGTTTTGTTTTTTGGTGCAGCGCTGTCTTCGCAATCGACAACCCCTAGCGACAGCCAGCAACCTCCAACAACTTGTCAGCCAGGTAGGGAATACACATTTTTCCTGGCAACTGAAGGTTACCAGGGGCTCACCAGCCGACCTCTAGAGTTGCTGCCATTCCAACCACAACTGAAAGTCACACCTTAAAAAAAACGAGTGCACTATTGTCGTGTGAGACTATATATTTGTCATACACACAGACACTCAATACAGTAACAACTACCAGCTGAGTTGGGGTTGGTTTGACTGGGCTCTTCCAGCCTAAGCACAGCAATTACTTTGCAGCTCTGAATGGACTCAGACACTTAATTTCTAACCTCACAGGCAAAAATAAGAAGTTTTTGCGATGATTAAAGGAGATACATTTCAACTGTAAAATTACTGCAAAAAACAATTTATACCTCACATCTCTGACCTTGTGATGCTGTAAAGTTTGTGTACGTTCTACCCATAAGCTTTTATTTCACTGTGTGACAAGAGATGCTTTAATTGTAGACATTTGACTAGAGGAAAGGGGGGAAAAAAGCACAGACGTTACTAAAAATAGCAGGGGCTATGTCGTCAGACTATGGTTCCAGTAAACAATGGCTGCAAACCAGGAGAAGCAGTTCACATTTACATGCATTTAAAGTAAAACTGAAAATACAAAATGAAATCTGGCATGAAGAAAAGAGGGGAAAAAACGAACTAAAAATGTATTGACAATGATAAATGGGTAGGTTATGTGTCATACTACATACATGCCCCTGTTATAAATAAATAAATGAGTAGTATGTCTAATGGGAATTAAGTCTGTTAATATTTGATTTAAGCTTGGAAGGCAGAGCTATTCCCTTCTCGCTCATCATTTATGTCCGTTATTCCCAGGAGGAGAACGCTCACTGTTGTCTTGTAGACTCCCATCCCGCTGCTCTTTTTCTTTTTACCCATAACTGTGAGAACTGCTCACAAAGTTCAGTCAAATCTATTTGCCTGTAGCGTTTTCACCCAACTGGTTCAGCTAAATGCTTGAGCAACTCAAAACCCTGGGTTTAACCTGTTGGAGATTCAGCACAGTTTTTCTTTTCCTCGGGATGTGCTAGTCCTTTGCTCTGTGAAGCCAGACAAGATGAATGATGTCACTTAATGGTGTAGGGGGTCGGACATCTGCCACCAAATTCGCGGTGCTCGTTGCGGACGCTCACACTGTCTTTTTGTGGCTCTGCGTGCCGGCCCCGGTGAAGTCACATCCTGCTCTTCCTGTTAGCCTGTGGTTAGCATGACGTGCTAGCAGGCTGCCTCCTCTTTTAAACAGCTCAGTGAAGCTCACGCTGGTTTGATTGTTCAGTTTCCTCTTTAGAGAAGACCCTCTGCCTCAGCTGGCTGTCGCTCTTTCCGCCTCGTCTTTCTCGCTGCTTCATCTGCACGTCCTCCTCATGAACAGCTTGTTAGGAAAAATGAAGCAAATGAGGGCTAAGACTCTTCACATGACTGTCAAGCATGCAGCGCGCGCGCGCGCGCACACACACACACACACACACACACACACACACACCTGCGTTCTATTTTCTTCTCCCCCACTTCAAAAGCCTTTTGTCCACACTTCTGCTTTTTTCCTGTCTGATTTAGTGCTCATCTGTGAAGTGAGCGTGGGTTGAGTAAACCATGCCAGTCAACATGTGTGAATGTTTTATTTTCTCTCACTGGGCGCACACACACACACACACACACACACACACACAACCAATTCAAGTCAAACAGGGTAATCATGTGAATAGGCTTCTGGTTTAACTGTGAGGCTTCTTTGGTGGGCTCACAGTGTTCTTGTTGTCCATTATGGGATGGGTCCTTCTCCCATCCCAACTGAGGGATCACATATCAGCCTATCGGAAAATGGATGCTCGCATTAGACCTCGCTGTCACACAGACCGAGAGCACGCCTGATGGCAGATACTTGTAAATATTATTAACGAATAAAGAAAAATAACAAATCCTGTAAATACTCTGTAGCTGAAACCTGATCAATTTAACCCCGTAGGTTTTTTTTAAAATTCACAAGTGTGTGTTTGACAGTTTTGAGTAATACACTTAGAGAAACCCCTTTGTTCTTTTATTTTGGATGATTTACAGTTTGAGTGGGCTTGAGAGGGACCGCAGGTCTATTTTAATTGCATTTAACTTATACATAAACAACATTTCTTCTCATTATTTATATTTAAACCACATCAGATTGATCATTTTTTCATTTGTTTGATTGTACAAGTGCATTACAGTATTTATAATCAACTTATGTTGATGACAGCTCCGTATAATTCCCAAACACAATCCAAGATCTACATTGGTGCTGTAGGAAGCCATTTAAAACGACAAAACCAAGGAACTGGTTGACTCATCTGGAAGTATGAGATGGGAATAACTATAGTAGGACAGGGCTCGTGTTTGCGAAGGTTGTATTGTTCTGTGGCTTTGGCGTTCTTAATCTTTTTGGGATGCGGTTTGGTTTTGGCAGCATCAGCTGCGTGAGGCGCTCAGGTGTAGTCCTTGCAGCCGCCGCAAATCAAGTCATTTTTCTCTTTCCTCTCGGTCTCTGCTGTCTGTGCCGCTCACACTCTGGGGGATGATAGGTCAGCAGGATGGACTGCAGTATAACTGGAGCTGGGTTGGGCTTTACTCGACAGCCTTCCCACTCCTCCTCCATATGCTACTGTCTCTCTCTCTGTCTCTCACACAGAGACACACCCTCGGACACTCCAGCACAAAAAAGACGAGGGCGTTGCCTGCGGCCGGTCTTTGACCCCGTGTGCAGTGATGTCACTCGGTGATGTGGGGGGTTGTGTGTGTGTGTGTGTGTGTGTTTGTGGTTGTCGTGGCTGCGTAAAGGGTAAAAAAGCAGGGGGAAGACTGTGGGGATGATTTGCATCAGCTTAAGTGAATTAGACTGGGGGGTTGTCTGCAGGAGGCTATTGAGCTACCAGATGCTCTGTTGTGCTGCTGTTGTTTAGGTGGAGAGGACCTAACCCTGCTAACATGGGTTTAAAGCCTTATAAAGACAAGGACAGCTGCAAGCATCATCCTGACCCACGTAAGGGACTTTTCATGAGTCACAGCTTCAGACAGACAGTTCAAACCACGCAGTGTTTTGTCAACCACGTTTATCCATATTTCTTTTTACGAAAACCACTGATTTACAGGCAAAACTATGAGCTTAAAATCTTTTGGTTTGAGGAATTGGCATTTTTTTGTGTGTTGTTGCATATAATGAACAAACTTACCCATTCTGCTATCTTACACTGAGCTGCAAAACCAGTTGATGCCAGTCGGGAGGCTTTTAGCGGCTTTTGTAATGATCGTCTTGACTTGGACTTAAGGAGTTAAACAGTTATCAAAGCCGCTGTTAAATAATACTATAAATTTTAGTTAATCATTAGATTAGTCAAAGAGGAAGATTAAATCTCTAGCTGCTGTGTTATATACTAAATAGTAGCACTTATGTTAAGCCTCTTTATTACAGAAGAGCAAAGAGAAGAACCTTCAATAAGTAGTTGTGTATTCCTACATAATGTGTTTTTACTCGCAATGATACTAGACAATTTGTGGATGGATAAGTTGCTTAAAAGCACAACAGTCTCTTAACTTCGTAGTTTCAATTGATCACTCTCTGTTTAAAGTCCAAAGCTCACAAAGTAGTTTCTTTTGCCATCACATGTGCATCCAATTTAAACAACACAAAGATGATTTGCGTGGCTTCTAAGCCAATCGTGAAACCTGTCTTTAGACAAGTTCAGACATGATGTTGAGTGGTTGACACTTGGTCTGGTAGCTTGTTAGTCAGCTGGACAGTCATGCAATTCTGTGCTTCCTTAATAACTTTGTCTGTGAATTAACTCTGTAACCAGTCTGGTTACAGGGGAATTAGACAGGAAGCTGCTGAGTTTCTTTGAGTGGAAATGTACATCTGATTTTTTTTTCCATTAAAAGCATGCTGCATACTGATCATTGTGGCTATATTTGCCATCTTTATGTCACCAAAGTCACAGCGCTTGGTTTCTGAATGTAATCATATTTTTCCCAGAAGCTGCTAGCCTTCATCAAATACAAAAAAGAAAGTAAATGTGGGCGGCAGTTCTTTTGTACATCTACAAGTGGACAGCTTCACTGAAAACCCACATCACAGCTATAGAATATGCTGCTCTAATACGTTTCTAATTGAAAATATTAAAATGTACTCATTCAAATTGCAGGACTTCTAACCAAAAGTCAGAATATTACGTAAGGAGTCCACTTCACTGCTGCACACTGATGGTGCGTTTCTTTTCCACTTTGTCCCTGTACTGAGCTTTCTTCTCTGATCTCTGTGTTAGTTCTCCATATGCTTGTTACCCTCCATTTCTTTCTCGACACCGGGGCCACACAATGTTACACAAGCACTTTAGTCAACACCGAGCACTGTGGAAAAGAGGAGGAAGGAAAATGGAGAATGGGAGCAAATGTGGACTATAATGGAGCTGTTAAAGCTTTTTGTAATGCTTGAATTCCTGCCCAACCTTTGAGAAAATCCATACGCCCAACCTTTTTATGTATGGAAACACTGTATATGAATACAGATGGAGTGGTCTGACATTTTTTCTCTGCCTCTGGATTGTCTGACTACAGGGCCCAGAGCTTTACTCGAACCCTTCTGAACATCTTTTTTTTTTTTTTTTGGACAACTCTTTTTCTGGGGCCATTTTCTGTAGGTGCTGGTGCTTTAAATGGGAATGGATGGCATGCAACCTTTTTTTTGTTTGCTTTCTACCCCTCCCTGTGGAAGTGTTTGTCTTGGTAACACACTGACCTGCCACAATGATTTTATTGTGAAACCAGTTGACTAACGGAATGCGTTTTCTGTCATAAGACAGTCATAAGCAATATAAGGTTGATGGTTTATGTTAAACGTTTGCCTTGTCCAAACTGCACTCGTTGCTGTTGAACCCACTGAGGCTGACACGTAACGCTTCTGACATCTAGTTGGTTAAAAAAAGCTCAAAAGGAACTCTCCACAGTGTGCTAAAGGTTCAGTGGAAAGCTTTCATGATCTCCTGACCCTCTTTAGACCAACTGTGTTATGAAAGCTGTCTGAAGCATAAACATGAAGTATCTCTCACGCTTTTTCTGTTTTGTTTTCTTCTTTTGTTCAGAATCGTGAGCTGCAGATCATGAGGAAACTGGACCACTGCAACATAGTCCGCCTGCGCTACTTCTTCTATTCCAGTGGAGACAAGGTGAGTCGGCTCGGTGTGCTTCTTCTAATTCTTCATCTGACCGTGGGAGGATGCATATTTAATTCTGCACAAATATACAGGAAAAAATATTAACAGCCATCTGTTTAAATTGACTGTTCAGCATAATCTATTTTTTCCATCCTTGGAAAAGTATCGCAGCTTGTGGCTGAGGAAGCGTATTCAAGGACGAGCCTTGCTTAGATTCCTCTTTTATGGGCCTTTTTAAGGTATCTTGGGGTCTTCTAAACAAAATAAAAGAAGATCTAAAATTCAATTTATTGACTCTGATTGCAGTAGCATAACACCAGCCTCTTCTACAGAGTATACACTAAATGTGCTCTGTGGACGCTGTACTTTCAGAAGCAGTTGAGCATTTTCTAGCTCAATCAACTTGTTCTGTGTTTAAAGGGACTGGACTCATAGCTTATTTCACTGAGTCCCATTCACAGGTCATTTTGTTGTATTTTGGAATCTGTTGTTTTCCTGTTTTTATTTTTTTATTTTTTAATGTTTTCTCCTGGCCAGCTTAGCTGTAATAAATACAATAGTACATATCTTGCCTGGAAAGTCCCTCTCTGTGCCCTGCTGTCGGTCTTCGCCGAACATCAGAGGTCCCTTGGAGACTACACGGCTGTGCTATGTCATTCAGCTAGCTTACAACGGGCAAAGGTCTGTGTGTCAAATATAGAACCACGTGGACTTGGCTCACATGCTGTCGGGACTATACCCATGACACGGCAGTTAGGAATGCTTTCCTGTTGCTCACCTAGCGACACCAAGGAAAGCTGTTAAGGTTTGAAGGGAGGGGAGTGGACGGTGAGATGGTCAGAGGGCATCGGCTAATTATAGATCCACTCGAGCTCTCCCTTCCGCACCGTGCAAGCTCCAAGCCTGTCCCAGGCTCTCGTCACACACCCACTGACCTCTGGGAATCACCTCTAATTCTTGGTATACTGACACAACGCCCGAGGCGACATGTTACACAAATCACCTTACACGCTGCCAACCTTTTTTTTTTATATTGCACAAGTTTCATGTGACTGTACCATTGCATCCACCTTTACATCACTTTCTTGTATAAGTCCCCCCCACCACCCCTTCTCTTCGCCCTCTCCTCACCATGTCTAATTATGGAGACCGGCACCATGTTTTTGGTATGGGATTTTACCACCCATAGAGCTGCTGAGAGGTAGTGAAGTAGCCAAAAGGCAATGTGAAAGGGATGGAGAGTTTCAGGCATGTTGATGGATTGATGGCAGATGGGTTTAAAATAAGTACGGGAAGAAAAAAGACATAGACAAAGAGATGACATGAGAAGAGGTCAGGTGTGTAGGTGCCACTGGTGTCCTGAAATGAGGGTTCATGTTGGGTGCAGCTGTGAGACAGGCAGGGACTGTTGCTACAGTAGCTGTCAGTGTGTGCACAGGTAGTCTTATATAAGTGCTGGCATGTGGCGTGCCTGATGCACACAGTGTGCTTTTGCTTTTACCCTTTAACCACTTGTATAATGCTGTGTTTAAACAGAAGGCCACCGGTCCAAACAGCGTAGGCAGGGAAGCAAATAGTCGCTTGACTTTTAACTATGAAAACGCTCAGAGGGTGCATGGAACGTACTCTGCTGACATGTAGCTGCCCTGTGCTGCATTTCTTCTTAAAATCACATATATTTACACACTGATTGCTTTCAGTAACATGAAAAAAATTAAGATAACATTCTTGGCAGCAGATTGACACTACAGGTTTTTTTTGTGTTGTAACAGACTTGAAGACAAAGTTCAGTTCATTTTCAGGTTACTGACTGAACGGTGATTAGAAATATGAGAGGCAGAGTTCAAAAACCAGCTAATTAATTGTTCATAGGTGACGAATCTGCATTAAAATTAACTTGCACTCTCACTTGCAACTTCCACTGGCACATCTAGCACTAGGACCACCTTTGGTCTTCAGAACTACCCTAATTCTCTGTGTCTTAGAATAAATAAGCCACTTGAAACATTCGAAACATTCCTCATTGACTTTGGTCCATGTTGACATGCTGTGGTGTTTTAACAATGCTCAGCTGGTACTAAGGGGCCCAAAGTGTGCCAAGAAAAAAAAACCCTCATCTTTACACCATCATCAAGCCAAAACCACTGATAGCAAGCAGGATGGATCCACAGAAGAATCCACTGAGACCTCTCAACAGAAAGTGAGGAATCTTAGACCATCCGGTATTTTTCCCCCAATCTTCTGTTGTCCAGTTTTGTTGAGCCTTTGTCAGCTGTAGCTTTAGTTTTCTGTTCTCAGCTGACACGAGCAGCTCCCAGCGTGCTCTTTTGCTGCTGTAGCCCATTTCCTTCCAGATTTAATGTGTTGTGCATTCAGAGACGCTCTTCTGCTTTTGTTATTTGAGTTACTGTTGCCTTCCTATGAACTCGAAGAAGTCTGGCCATTCTCCTCTGGCGAGGATCAGGATATTTTCGCCCAGAGAACTGCCGCTCACAGAATATTCTCTTTTTTTTTTTTTCTCTTTTTTTCAGACCATATTCTATAAACCCTAGAGATGGCTGTGCGGGAATATCCCAGGAGATCAGCAGTTTCTGAAAAACTCAGCCTGTCTGGCACCAACAACAACGCCACATTGAAAGACACTTTAATCAGTGTTCTCCCCATTCTGATACTCAGTTTAAGTTGGTGCCATATCATTGACTGATTAGATATTTGCATTAATAAGCAGTTGAAAAGGTGTAACTCTAAAAAGTGTAGGAGTTTATTGAGGACTATGAAATGCATACAATTTGGTCTAGGCGTATGATTCTCGCTTGGGGTGCGAGAGGTCCTGGGTTCAAATCCCGGACGAGCCCCCAGTTATGCCCCCAATTAAACATAAGAATAGACTTGTACATTACAATGGTGTAAAGAAATGGTAACTTAATGATAGAGCTGTGACTTTGGTTAATGTCTTACATTAGTGTTGGAAATCACTTTGATCATGTCCAGTTAATTTAACGATGTGCAACAGATGCACTTTTCTAACGTGGGCATTGTGACTTTCCTGACTTCAACAGTGTCTTAAAACTGACATCATTATGTGATTCAGACAGGATTCAGGAGGGATGTGTAACGATGATGAGTTTTGTTAACATGGAACTCATCTGTACTTTAGTTAATACATCTTTTTTTATACTGCAGCTTACAAAGTGAGCAAATCAAAGTACGCTGTGTCACATCCTATTAGATTTTGATTTATGTCGGAAAAACGTTTCCACGTTGGGGAAAATATATTGTACGTATAAAGCTATTGTGCTACGTGCATAAGTGATGCTGATGATGAATCCTGCTGCTCTGTGATGTTGCAGATATATAATAAACTCAGAGGAACGACTCCAGCACACACAAAGCCTAAAACTAAATTTCACCCCCTGTTATTGTTTTGTCAAAAACCCAAATCATATTTATTGCTCCCACTGAGTTTTGTTAATCTGTTATACTGAATGATACTGAATTGGAGGCCCTAATCTTTGGTGTCCACTATTTCTTCTCCACATTTATAATCAGTCTGGGTGATTAAGAATGTAACCCTGACTAGTTGTTGGAGGCATACATTCTTCTTCTTGTGATTCTTGTTGAGGGCATTCCTCACATCAGTCTTTCCTTTTTCTTTTTTTGTGGGCTCAGAAACTGGCGACAAGAGAAACCACAGTCTAGTGCGTGCCGCTCCATTAATACTGCAACGAGTTACTTCAGATATGAAGCAGACGCTTTCAGATGCTGTCTGATAAGCAGAAAGACGTGCACGTCACAAACAGATTTAAGTGACGTGAATGACTCAACAACCTTGCGTGCTTGGTGAATTAGCTGGAAAGGAAAAGGGAACTGCTCTGGTTTTTTGTGGTATTTGTTGCTGGTGCCTTTAAAGGACTTTTAACAACTGATTTTTAAAAGACAAAATAAAAAATGTGTATTTTCTGTATGAGAAATAAATCTACATCAAGTTTTCAGTTATTTATTATGTTAGATTATGTTGCGCTTGGATGGTGCATATTTTTAAATGAAGTGCACTGAACTTATGAACTGATGGGTTGACAATGAGCCTGTGTGGCTATTTATGAGTGCAGCTGAAGGATGGTTGTGTAAACATCAAAACGAATAGGCCCAGGGGCACCTCTTCTGCCCCCGGTCCTCCTGACTGGTTGATCCGGCTGTTGATAACATACCAGTGTAGCTTTCTGCTTCTTTCTGGCTTTTTTGAGCTATTAAATCAGTGATTCCAGATTTTAATAGAGACACTGTGGTTGAATCTAGATAATGAATCTGGTAGAGCTGCCACTGGATTTCCCAGGAGCCAGTGAGAAACAGGTGAGAGTTTATGGCTGTGGCTGACATATCTGGCATTGCTCCTGCACATATTAAAGACTTATTCTTAGATTCGTAGTGCCATGTTGCAGTCTTCATTAGCGTGGGCCAAAATAAGGACTCAGTTAACGTCCCTCACATCTTGCTCGAGCTCCGTCTGTGCCGCTGTCTGCCTTCCTTGATTTCACAGACTCATTTGCGCTCACAGTTGTGTAATTTCCTCCCATAATATGCATTTAAATATGCTTCATAATGTCAACACAGAAGCGCAAACACACATGCTAATAAAAGCTTTGCTTGTGAAGACTGACATGCAAACTGTGCATTACATACTGAAGACTGCTAAGCTTACTGACAGATAGCGTAGCCAGGTTTTCTCACCAAATTAAAGGCTGGGTTGCTTAGCTGGGAGTGAACAAGGAGCCAATCGGATCCTGCCTGGCTAACCTCCGGGAACAAGCCAAGGAAGTGGCTTTGTAGTGAGGCAGGAAGTGAGTCATCACTGTTGCTAGGCTAAATATAGCTTTAGTGGCACCAGAAGGAGGTGTAATGGGCTCTCCAGACGTCACAATTCTTATCAATGGGAGTTTTGCTGGTGAACGAGGGATGGCTGTGTGCTATGATTGGTAGAAGAGAAAGGCACGCAGAGATCGCGTGCTAAGGAGTGAACGCGATGCCGGTGATGGATCAGTTTGTAAATGAAGCTATACTCACCAGTATCGGAAACCCTGTGCGTGCCTGTCCATCTGTCTTCCAGGAGTCAAGGCCCTGTACTTCGCTCGCTGTCTGTGTATGTGTCCAGTCATCTGAGTGTGAACAGGAGAGAGCTGTCAGGACAAAGCAGGACACTGAGCTGACAGAAGTGTACCGCACAGTCTGTCTGGAGGCTCTTCACAGGCCCAGCTCACTCATTTTGCTTTGCAGACCTGCAGGGAGCCAGCGCCTAAGCTGCATGTTGGGCAGCGTTGCTAACAGATGGGGAAAAGGAGGCAAAAGGAATCCAGACACTCAGTCCCAGACTAGATAGGAGGGAGAGAAGAAAGCAAGGAATAATTTAATTAAAGTGTAATTTAAAAGCTCAGATTTATTTATTTATTTATTTTACTCAAAGAGGGATGTCTCATGGGTGTCTGTGCAGATACTGTTCAATACCAGTCAGTGCTACATGATTACATGTAGCAGTATGCGCTCACCGCCCACTGATCCTCTCAAAGATGTCATGATGAGGGAACACATGAGGTATATAGCTTTGCAGATGCAGTTACAGTGTGGGCGATGGGCCGCTGTTATCAAAAATGCAGTTTATCACAGTATTACATGCGCCTACACAGAAGACACACCCATGTGAAGTCCATTTACACTTTATCTTACATTTATGTTTGAAACGAGTGAAGGAGCCTTCTGCCAGTGATAAACAGTGAACGCACACAACTTATATTTTGAAGGCGAGTCGGTTGTGTTGCAAAGATTAAAGACTGCATCAGCAAATCCCTTGAAAGAAAAGCAACACCATCAATAAAGCGATGGCCAGGTTTAGCTTCTCGCTCTGCTTCATATACCTCAGCTGTATTTAAAACACATCAGTGGCCCGCAGTGTTGCATGGCTGCCATGTTTCTTCACTACAACATGGCCTGTGTAGTTTATTTTGGGTTAGTCCCGCCTCACCATTTTGGTGCTATGAATACTTACTAGAGCATCAAATGTGTACCAATACCCTGGTGAGAAAAGTCCCCTCCACTAAAGCTCAGCTTGCTCTAGTTTGAGCAATATTAGATCAAATTTGCTCTGTCCAGTGGTTTGGGCATTTTTCATAAGACCACAATTTGTGATTAAGTGGCTGTTGAATGATTTATGCAGTTGGGAGGGAAGTCAAAGTATTAAGAGAGACAGCAGGACTGTGGTTGTGCTAATATTTTGTAGAGAATGCATGAAAAATATATAAATTCCAGGTTTGTCTTCTAGAAAAGTGCTCAGTTTGTTACATTGTTACTACTACTGGTATTCTGTTACTGGTTTTATTGTTAGCATTAAATGCTTAGAAGAAGACACTTCTTCCGATGATGGACATTTTCCAAAAAACACCACTGATCACTCAGTGCTGATTTATTCACATCACCCTCAACATGGGCATAGTGTTTTATGCAGAGGCCTCTGCTGTTCCTCCTAGCATGCAATCAGAGCCTGAGCAGGCTAGTTGTCAATGCGTCACGTATGCGTTTGTGAGTAACCTTCCTCCTGAATTTTTAAAGTATTTCTTAACTCTGGCATTTTAGCCTTATACGATTTACAGCCTCCCAAGCTTGAGTTCCTCAAGACACTCTAATGGCTTACTTTGGGCTCATTCTGGCCATATTTAAAGGAAATGGGAAGTCTAAGAATAATTGGGTGGAGAACCCCCCAGATACAGCATCCTTTCATGGTCAGTGCGCTCCAGAGTTCAATGTACACAACCCCGCCCTCCAGCACTGGTCTCGTCCAACCAGGAAACAAGGAAATGATATCACTGTCTGCGGCCACTGTCGGGGCAACGGCCGTTATGACGCACGGTTGTGTGCTTCCTGCCCACAGGGAGAGATACAATGGATTCCCAGTTAGGCTGCAAGAAAGCATCAATTACATCAGCATGAATACGGCTTCTTTCTTAGGAAAAGATGCACCACAGCTAAGAGGAGAGAGACAGGGTAATAGGATGGGGATACATATTTAGATCACAAGTTTTGAGTTAAATTCATGCATTTTCCAAGATTGTGTTGTTTTTCTTAACATGTTTAGATTACAAGTGTCTTTTCTATACAGTTTACATGATTTCTGTCAGTGTAACCATGTTTTTTTCTTTTCTATTGTTGCTTCTCACCGACAGAAAGATGAAGTGTATCTGAATTTGGTTCTGGATTACGTGCCTGAGACCGTCTACAGAGTGGCCAGACACTACAGCCGAGCCAAACAGACTCTGCCTATGGTTTATGTGAAGGTAAAAGCTCTGTCTGTTTAACAAGGCTGAAAAACACAGTTTAAAGTGAACTTGACGGACATGTTTCCAATCTCATATTTTTTATTCTTGGAGTCTACTATAGTAACTTTCAAAACAATCCTCATTGGTGGAGCTCCTTGGTTTATCCACTGACTGAAACAGTTCGCTTTAGCAAGCCTTCCTTTAATCCTGCTTACTTCTGATTGGTATCTCTTTGTAAACAGAAGGTTATGAGATGACCATGTAACAATTCTGAAATACATAATAGTTAATCGAATATCTCTGGTAATTCTTACCGGTAGTTACAGCAACTTAGTTAAATCTGAGTTAGTCTGGTGAAAGCTGCAAGTATAAAGACTGTAGATATATCAGTAAAATGGGGTGTGGGCTTTTTGTGTGTGAATCAGTCGTGATAAATTTGGGCTTTGAGAATTGTTATACTTTTAATATGGGACACACTGCTTGTAGGTCCACTTTAACCACACTACCCCACTATGTGTCCTTTATCTTCACATTTCTTAAAGTACGTATTTTTCTTTTTTCTACAGAAAGAATATTATCAAATCAAAACATTTTTTTATTAAACAGCTGTGTTGGTATAAAATGTGGCTTAACTCTTCTAGTTGATTATGGGGCTCAGTTTTCATCCAGCACCATAAGATCCAGATTTCACTGAGCTGTGTTATCAGCTCGTTTTTGATAAAAGCTAATTTATCATATTTTGAGAGCTTCACTGCTAAACACTAAATATAAACAGCTCAACAAATGAAAATTTTTGTCCTTGCATATCCCATCTATTTTTGCCCGTAGACGACTTTTACTAACTTTTTAACGTTGTGTTTTGTACAGATCTTAGATTTAGCTAAAAATCATAAAAAATCTCAGAAACAATCTCTGTCTTCAGGTTTCTTTTACACAATGTGAAACTTTACTGCTTTGTTGGTTTGCATCGTGTGTGCACACATGAGATGCTACTTTTTAGGACTTACTTAGATGACAGATGTGCGAAACAAATTGGGAATAATTAGCAGAGGCACAAAAAAACCTCCATCTGAAGGACTTTTCTGTATCAGTGAAGCAATTAAAAATAAAACACACCTACTGGTTACTACACCTGCTGTTCCACTGAGCAAATTCTCTGCTCAGTTCTCTTTGAAAGTAAATCCACCATTGTAATATTAATTAGGATTAAACAACTAGTTCACTGTGTTAACAAGTAAAACATTTTTTGATCTTATTTGTAAGATTAGATTGACCTGAGGCGGCAAATTTGAAACAAGAAATGAGTTTGGATTTAAAAATTTGCTTTAGTTTTAAAACGTGTGTGTCTATAAAAACACTTCATATACTTAATTTTATCTCTACAAAAGCTGAGTGACAATGTTTAGGAGTTAAAAGAAACAGTGTGTGAAACTGGAGTCTAAACATTTGCTGTAAAACTCATTCTCTGGAGCTGAAATACAGCCCAGAGTTTCTATATTTTAGTGCTGTAATGGAAGTTTGCTGTTTCTCTAACCTCTGTGTGTGTATTTGTGTGTGTTTTCCTGTGTAGTTGTATATGTACCAGCTCTTCAGGAGCCTGGCCTACATTCACTCGTTTGGTATCTGCCATCGGGACATCAAACCCCAGAATCTGCTGCTGGATCCAGAGACGGCTGTTCTCAAGCTCTGTGACTTTGGCAGGTGAGGGACAGTCATGTTTTACACTGATCTGAGTTTTTTCTTTTCTTGGCATTTACAAAAGATGTTCACATTGGTACCGCTGTGATGTTCGATAACATAAAAAGTGAGCGCCAGCAACCAGTTAGCTTGGCTTAGCATGGACAGTGGAAATAAAGGAATGGGTCTTCTGGATCTGTGTGAAGGTTTCAGAAGGCTTCTAAGTAACATTGCTGCTCATCCTCAGTATTTAGCAGTGTCCTGAAGACAGCAAATCACACACTGTAACTATGCACAACCAAGAAAAAGGCCCTGTAACACTGCTGTACATCATTCTTACACCAGATCATGTTGGAATTAAGCAAACGAGACTGACCCCTGTTTACATCTCTTCTCATATGACTTTATATTTATGAGCATGAGAATGAAATCAGTCTCCAGCTCTAAACATACCTAGTCAGTCTGTTTCCCCAAATGTTACTCTCTTCCTTTTGAAGAGTTTCACCCTTAAGCTGATGCACACTGTGTGGCTGCCTGGTTGAACTGAGAAAATGGGTGAGGCCATAGTTAAAGTCACGTGGTGCCATGAGTCTAGGTTTACTCTGTTCCTGGGAGATGAGCACACTGTACCCTGAAGAGAGGTAGATAAAAGTGATGCAGCCACCATCATTGTCATCATACCTGTACCTGCCCTACAAGCCTGTGGAAGCAGTGTTATGATCTGGGGTTGCTTCAGTGTCTCAGGTCTAGGTTCAGCAACATTATCTGCCCAAACATGAGGACAGCGGAACGGGCACATTTCAAGATGACAATGTCAGGATTCACTGGGTTTAAATTGTGAAAAGAGTAGTTGAGAGAGCACGAGACATCATTTTCACACAGAGTCCAGACTGTATCTCCACTGAGAAGCTTTGGGATGTGCTGTAGAAGACTTTCAACTAACTGTCCAATTTGTTCAGTTTGTTAGTGGAAAAACGTGAACCACCTCTGGAGTGAAAATGTCGTAATAAATGTTGCTTAAACGTATCAAAACAATGCCATGGAGAATGCAACGCCTAAATCCAGCAACATAATAATGTGGGAGCTGTTTTCAGGCGCATTATACAGGCTCTGGAAAGTGTGCAAAAGTCAAACTGAGATCAGCGTGCGTTGTCGAAAACAGATGATTTATTTACTTTTCATTCGTTAGCATAAATGTTGATTATATTTGTAGCAGAAATGTAGAAATCTTCCTTTTAGCTGTGTGTTTGATTGGATATGAAGTCCACTGAGGTTTTATCACACGTGTAAATCCTCAGTACTGGGTGTTTCTTCAGGTTCATTTTTTCCCTTTTTTTGAAGTATGCAGATGGTGGTGATGATGATTATTTGCTATGATTTTGTGTGCAGCGCTAAGCAGCTGGTCCGTGGAGAGCCTAACGTGTCCTACATCTGCTCTCGCTACTATCGAGCCCCTGAGCTGATCTTTGGTGCCACTGACTACACTTCCAGCATAGGTAGGCTAACTCGAGCAACAACTCTCGCTGCCTGACACATGCACATTCATCAGGAAATTATGAGATCGTGTGTTACTTATGATAAATGGACTGGTTCTTATATAGTGCTTTTCTACTCTGGTTCAGCACTCAAAGGAGTTTATAAGCTTTACAGCAAGTCGTCATTGCTCCTCTTCTGCTTTTACAATCGGACTCCTGCCTTGTCCTTTAGATGTGTGGTCAGCCGGCTGTGTACTGGCAGAGCTGCTCCTGGGACAGCCGATCTTCCCTGGTGACAGCGGAGTGGACCAGTTGGTGGAAATCATCAAGGTAATGACCGTACTAACCGAGAGTATTCCAATATTCCCAAACAAATACCGCTTCAAGTTGGATGTAATATTACTCGGGCTAATGGTTCCACCCGTGTGTTTCAGGTTCTCGGCACCCCGACCCGAGAGCAGATCCGTGAGATGAACCCCAACTACACTGAATTCAAATTCCCCCAGATCAAGGCACATCCATGGACTAAGGTGAGTCAACAGGTACAGGAGCCCTTTTACTTCTTTAAGATCCACCGCAAAAGCATTCTGCCATTCCTGTTTTGCCTGCATGCTTCGCAACCATCCAACATCATCATCTTCATCTAACAGACCTGCATGTGAAATAGTTAATGCCATAAATGTTCTAAAAAATAAAAGATGCAAAGAATTTGCATTTACTGAAAATTTACTGAACTCAGCTCACACTTATCTCCCTCAGATCGAGATTATGGAATCAGCAGCACTCGTGCTCAGAGCAGATGTGCTGACTGGTAGCTAGCAGCAATGTGCGGATGTGCAAATCAAATATTGAGCACCAGGCAATGAATCTGAGGCGCCGTGTACTTTTTTTGCATCAACTGTTTCAAACTCGGGGGGATGGATGAAGGCCTTGAAATCCTACTCAGTGTTCCCGAACGTGCCGTGCAGTTGTGTGATTTCTTGGTGTTGATGCTGCCAAAGATGCTTTTGTTTAAATGTTTAGTGAGAGTCTTGACCAAATCACATCAGCCAGACAACTGGCATCCTTAACTGAGAGGAAGGGTTTTTTTTATTTCTCCAATTTTGAATAAGTCAGTCCTGAATTTTATATTAAATTTATATATTTTATTGGTTTTTAAGTTTTTTCAGTCCCAATAATTATTTGAACAAAGAACAAAATATCAGACTTTATAAGAGCAAGAAGGGAGAAGGATGCAACACCATCGCTGGTAGAACTCTACATTTTAAACACTTGTTACCGGATCTGACTGGTGATTCAGAACATGCCGTTTTAAAGTAGCAGTTAACCCTGAAATGAAAGTTGACTTACCCGATGCTTCAAAACAACTGAAGCATTTAACCACGACTTCCGAGTTGCAAGACTTGCTTCAGGGAGGAGTTTGATAATGACGCACTGGTTCATCGAGCTGAAAACAACCACTTTCTTTGTTCTTGACCACCTGTAGCACAATGTCTGGGCCTATTATCAGCAGCATCAGAGCTTTGGCACAGGCTCAAAGCAAATATAAGATCTGCCTGATGTTTTAGAGTGGACTGATGTTAAACCTGTGCTATCCTGCTTCAGTCAGTTACTTCATCAACTGCCACCCTACCTCCCAACATCACGATGTTGCCTCGTTGCTTGTTTTAACTCATCTTAAGAACTAAACAGGTTTTAAAATCTAAAGGACAGTCTCTCTTTCTTAGCTAAGCACAGCTCTTCTATTTGAAAAAGCAATTAGCCAATCAGGAGGGAGCAGGGCTATCAGGCCCTCCTGTTCACCTCCGACGTGCCTCGCTGTGGTCGCTCTCTGCAGCTGCATTTCATTTGCTACTCACTGCTACAGCAGTCATATGCTTCCACTGATTCATTCATAGCACGCCATAAAAAATGCATTGGTCAAAGTGCATTAGCTTTCATAGGATATTAGTAAAGATTCATTTTTCATCCAGTCATATGCTCTGTGTGTGTGTGTGTGTGTGTGTGTGTGTGTGTTGTATATGCATTTGTGCTAAAAATACTGAAATGTCTCTTTTCTTTGGAAACTCGTGATGTTCTCATTGTTGATTCGAATTGACGTTCAGGTGTTCCGACCACGTACGCCTCCGGAGGCCATTGCCTTGTGCTCCCGCCTGCTGGAGTACACGCCCACGGCCCGCCTGACACCCCTAGAGGCATGCGCACACTCATTCTTTGACGAGCTGCGCGACCCCAGCATCAAACTGCCCAACGGGCGAGAGAAGCCCTCGCTCTTCAACTTCACTACCCAGGGTAGGCGCACTCACAAAGCATTCCTCGGAAGAGAAACCATTCATTTAAAAAAATAACACCTCTCCCAAAGTCCCATTTGCATTGTAAATACGGTTTAAACACGAATATTAAAATAACAAATTCAGGGGGATCCAAAGCCCTGAGGGTTTAAAGTTTTTCTGTTTTGAATAATTCACTTTACTTTATTTAGATACTCCAATCTAACAGATTTTTTAGAAGAATATAAAGTACATTTAAATATTTTTTTTTTGTCTGGGACATATCGGTTATCTCGTATTCACAGTAGCATTTATCCGTAAGGAAATCTAAGCACATCTTAAAACGCCACTTTTATGTTATCGCTGGTCTGCAGGTAACTTTGTAACAGCATAATGTGGTAATGCATTGTGTGTTCTTCTTCTTTTAGAACTATCTAGTAATCCTTCTTTGGCCTCCATACTCATCCCTGCCCACGCCCGCAGCCAGGCTGCCGCCTCTACCCCAACCAATGCATCTGCCACCACAGGTTAGAGCCACGCTACCTCCGTCAGACCCTTGTTTTATGTGGTTAGCTGCTCTATATTTATTACTTTGAAGTACTGGTTGTGGCTTTGTTTTTCAAATTAGCAGTAAGCAATTTCATCCCCTAAAGGTCAGCCTCTTTAGTTCAATTTAAGTTCAATTTAACTTAAGCCAGAAGTTGTTTTGCACTCATGTCTCCGAGCACTAAACGCTGCAAACAACAACACATGCTGTTTTCGTCGAAGGGTTGACTTTACTTAACATGCCACCTCAGTTTGGCAGTGTGTTAGGTGTTTTCAGCTGTGAGTTTGGCTTTTAATTATTAATAAAACAAGATAATTGAGTTTTTTATAAAAATTGTGACACCCTTGCTTTGTTTTTTGCTATAAATTCTTCGCACTGTGCTCTATTACAGCAGCGGCTTTTGCCCGACACCATAGGCCCAAACTCACTCCCAGTCATGTGACATGCTTAGCTTACTTCACATTCATTAATTATTGCGTTTCCACTTCAAAGAACTGCTAAAAAAAAAGTTTAGTGTTTTTTCCATCAATCTATGGGGTTTCTAATTGTTTTTAAATTGTGTGTTTTTCCAGAATTTAAAATTCCTTTCTTCTCATGTATGCTTATGTTTAACCTGCGTAGCATTATCGATTCACATTTGCTGCTTATATTGTTCAGTGTAGTTTGTATACACAGATTTGTATCCTTCGCTCTCATTGTGTCTCTGTAACTCTTTTTCTACCTTTATCTCTAAACCAGCTGTTCAACTGAGCACTTCCTCTTCCTGTTCATAGATGGCAGCAGCACAGAGCGAGGTCCCACCACCACCACCGCCTCTGCCTCAGCTTCCAACTCCACCTCCTGAGCCCACAGAGCACCTGCCCCGCCCCGGTCTCAGCCCCAGCCCTCAGCCTCTCCATTGCCCTGGCCAGGGGGTGAGCTCTGCTCAGCTCAGCTCTGCCCTGCTCCTCTTCCCCGGCAGCAGCGGAGCGATGCTGAAGCAGGCCGGGTTCGACAGCTAACTGACCACAAACCTAGCATCCCCAGTCTGCCTCTCTTACCCCCAAACCCGGCCTCAACATAAAGCTGTTTGAACTCTTCTCCATCCTCCGTCAAAGATGCCTCTCCGTGCCCTCTCGACAGGGAAGTGAAGCGCAGGGCCGAAGATGTTATCGACTGTACTGTTGATTTAAAAAGTACACTGTACACGTATACACAATGCTAGCCTGCTAAGAGGACAATCTGTAGAAAAGTCCTGAGCTCTCCCCCTTTTTTTGCCCTGTCTCTATCTGGCCTCCCTCTCCATTGTTCCATTTTTCTGCATCCTTTGACCTCTGACCCCTCCGTCCCCTGGCCAACCCCTCCTCCTCGAAAAAAAACAAAAACGAGCCCCGCCCCCCTTTTGGTTCTTTCTGTAGTGCATGGCCTGAGTATGGTAGGATCACCTGGGGGCCACCAAGCCCTCTCACATCCACTTCTGCAGACAAGGCATGAGGCTCACGCACGCGTATACACACACACAGACACACACCTACACCCTCAAACACACACATCCTCACACACATGGATGCATGATGATCCTGGTGTATGTGGGAAGAAACAGTCCTCTTTGGAAGGACATGTTTGGACAGTGTTGTTTTTTGTTTTGTTTTGTTTTGTTTGCCCGGGGTTATTTTTAAAAATTGTTGGCGATCTGTTTTATTCAACTTTGTTTTTAATTATTTTCTTTTTTGTTGTTTTTTTTTTTTGTACTCCTGGGCAGACGTCTTTTGGATTGCCACGTGTGATGGATGTGACATGTATCTGGTCCTGTGTGCTTGTATAATATATACATACAATACAAAACAGACATGCATACACACACAGTTTATATATTACTTTTCCTTATGTATAAAAAGTATATATAGATATATGTATATTAACTACAATGGTTCAGAAATCATTTATGGTGAGCTCATATCTGGCAGAGCAGTGGCAATATTTGCCGCTGCCTAAAGACAATAGATTTAGATAAGGTGGTGTTTTGTTATTCTTTTATTTCTGTTTTTGTTGTTGTTCTCTTCTTTGCTGGAGTGTGGTTAGATTCCAGCAGCCACTTCCCTGTGTCGTCTGTATTAAGGCTGTAGATGGATTTAGGGCATCGCTCTATTCCCCGTCTTTGTACCGGCTCTGTCTGTAACAGTGTTTCTGTGACAGTGCAGCGTCTAGACAAACGTGTCCCCCACCCTTTTCCCTCTCTCCCTCTCTCTTTCTCTCGCCGTTTCTGTGAAGAATTCGAGGTTCGTTTTCACGCTCGACTCTCGGCCCGCGGTCTTCGGCGCACCACCGGCTGCCTCGTGCGCTACGACCACCGACCGGAGCGCCCCTTTCTTTTTGTCCCCCTCCACCCCCGCAGCACATAGAGCCACTCGGTACAGTCTGACGAATCGTCTTATTTACGGAGAATACTCACTACATTTAAACAAAAAAATTAAAAAGATAAAACCAACAAAAAAAAAATTCAGAAAACAAAAAAAAATCACACACACACAAGAAAGAAAAACTGAATTTGTACATACAGTATAAATGCTCCTCACCAAAATTCTGACTTGTATGACTTGTATGTTGTTTTTTTTTTATGTTGTTATGTTGATTTTTTTTTTTTCTTCCATGTTGTGTTCAAGGTATGTATATATGCAGACCCATGTACTGTTTATGAGCAAAAACAAAGATGACAAAGGGTGAGGGAACGGATGAAAAAGATTCAAAAACAAACAAAAAAATGAAACAAAAACAAAAAAAAAAACCAGAATCAGGGCAAAACTGATGTTGTGTATGGATATTGTAGATGACGACGACGATGATCAGCTTTATCCAGCCATATGTTCAATCTTACCTGTACAGTACAGTAGATTACAGCTGTATTATTGTAACAAGAACTAGTCATGTATAGTGTAACTATAGTTTGGAGTGCCTTTGCTTTCATACACCTTCGCCTTGTTTCCACCCTCACCCAGCCCACGCCATCAACCCCCCACCCCCACTGTCACCGCCCCCCTCTGATATTGTGACTCTCCCTTTTGGTGCTGTTGAATGTCCTGCTGTCCGCGTGCTCACTCACGCGCCCCCCTCTTCCACCCGATGCACATCCTCTCCCTCCTGCTCTTTTCATTGCACACTAAATGTAATATACAGACATTGTTAATTGTAAGGATATTTTTTTCTTTAACTGAAGATATAGTAGACAGGTGTTTATTTTAATAGATGTTTTATCTTGGGGGGCACACACACACACACGCACACATACACGTGTACTGCAGTCCTGGCACAGATTTGGGGTATGAAGTGGGTGGGTGGTGTGCTGTGGACGGCAGCAGGGTTTTAAACAAAAAAAAAAATCAAACCAAAAAAAGGCCTCACATATTATATACGATACAGTGCAGTTTCTGTATTACTCGCAGTGTTGGTTCTGTTACCAAAGCCAAACCATCATGTTGTGATGAGCCATCCTCAGAGGCAATAACTCTTCTTCTTCTCTTCTCTTTGGATGTTTTGTTGTTTCTCCTCCTGCTCTTGAGTAATCAGGGGGGTGAAATTCAGTAGCACCTAAGGGGTCAAGTCATGTAGCCTTTCTCCTGTCTCTCCCGCTTGCTGTAATTTTGCATTCATGAACGTGTTGCTACCCTCCACCAGAAGGTTGGACCACTTCACCCCTGCCCTCTTACTCCAGTTCAATTAAAGCACCACAATGGCTACCAAAAAAAGAATAAAAGTGTATAAGCTAGTATAATATCTTATACTGACATATACACTAGTGTCATGCTGACTGGGTTAAACTGGGGTAATAGAAAAGAAGAATCTTAAGAAAATACTACAAAAACATCCTGTATAACAGTACTACTACTTGAATGCCTCTGTTTGTGACTGAAATTTCGATTTCTTTTTTTGTTTGTTTGTTTTTGTTTGTTTGTTTTTTCCTTTTGTTCTGTGAAGGTATGCTAAATGTGCGCCTCTGTAAATATTCCCTCTGCGTGCTCCGAGGAATAGTTCCCTGGTACTGTAATTTGCATTAAATAAAGAGTAGGATAGCCTGGAAATGATCATGAAATTTGTCTGTTTGAGATTCTTTTACTGTGTTTGTTCCCGTCACTTTGTAGACATCGGATCGATTTTGTTAAAGAAAATTCAAACCAAAGTAGTGGCAGCTTAAATATATCTGACATTTATGTACATTGCTGAAGTGGCAGGGACACATATTATATATTGTAAATGGCAATTTATTAGGTAGACCTGCTCAACTAATCATTAATGCAAATATGTATTCGGCTGATCGCATGGCTCTAGCTCAGTGCATTTAGGTGTAGACATGGTCGAGAGACCTGATGAAGTTCAAACAGAGCATCAGAATGGGGGCAAAAAGGGGACTCTGAATGTGGTGTGGTTGTTGGTGCCAGACTGGATTATCTGACTATTACAGAAACTGATTTCTACCACACAACCATCTCTAGAGTTCACAGAGAATTATCTTAGAATTATTAAGAGAGAGAGAAAACATCCAGTGGATATAACCAGGATACATAAGACCATCTCTGAATGCACGCGCATCGAACCTTGCAACAGAAGACCACACTGGATGTCACTCCTTTCAGCTAAGAACAGAAAACTGAGGCTACAGTTTACACAGGCTTATCAAAAGTGGACTGGAAAAACACATCTGCCCTGACGTCTCAAGTTCTGCTGCTGTGTTCGGACTGTAGGGTTAAAATATTTTGTGAACAACTTAAAAGCGTGGATCCCTCCTGCGTTGTATCAACAGTTCAGGTTGTTGGTGGTGTAAAGTTTTCAGGGATATTTTCTTTGCGAACTGGTTTTTTGAACATGACAATGAAGTCACTGTAGCTAATTGGCCTCCGCAGTCACCAGATGTGTAATGCTGTCATGTCAATCAAGTCTCCAGCACTTCAGCCTGTGCCACAAAGAATTAGGTCAACTCTGAAGAACAAACCATGACCAGCCTGATACTTTCACAACATATCTGTTAAAGTGTTTAGTGAGTGTCTTTTTGTGTATATTACAAAACCAGCATGGCAAAACTCATATGATCATATAGATTCACACAGATTTATGTTTACATATTAAGAGTCTGAAACCTTGCTAATGGTTCAATGATGCACTGGCTTAAAATAAATGTGTTTGAAAAAAGAATATCTTTATTACAACATGATGCACAGAGATAACAGAAGCATCAACAGTGAATCACAAAGTCTATAGTAAATAAAAGTAAACAAATGTGGAGGTATTCTGTGCCAGGTAAATCCAAGGATTTCAGTTAGAGTGCCAGTTTCAAGTTCAACCCAAACCCATTAAAAGTTGCCCTTTAATGATGATCTGAAGGCAATAGCTGATAAAGAGAAAAATAGTAAAAAACTGTGTCCTTTTGCTTAATCTGAATCAAATGGAACAACTGCCGGGTACTGTACACAGAAATCTTGAAGAACAAAACTCTCAACTCTCAAAGTCACATAATGAAAAAAGTTCTCCTTAGTGCAAAGAGAAGACTCGAGTCTGCCATCACAAATTAAGGTGGACAAAGAACTGACAAAATAAAAAGTTCCTCCCTTGGGGCGTGTTTATTTAATCCATTAGATCAAAAGTGATCAACAAAACTTCAGGACAGTCCAGATGTTTGCAGTGCAGATCAGCCTCACAGAGAATCTGTTTTTCTGTGTGTGGCCAGAGGGGGGCAGTGTTTGTCTTTATATGCCATCAGAAACGCTCATGTCAAGCATTTTTCATTCATCACGGTTTACAATAAATGAACATTAAGGCACCAAAAGCACAAAACTAGACCAACAACAAAATTCTACATTTAAAAAGCAGCTTTTTCGGAGTCACAACACTGACAACACTCGTTCACTCCCTCTCACCTATATATTTTTGTCCTGTCAATATTTAAGACAATTCAATTCCATTCATTTTTATTTATATAATCACAGCAAAAATCGCCTCGAGGCACTTTATATTGTACAGTAGATCGCACAATAATAGATACGGAGAAAAACCCAACAATCATATGACCCCCTATGAGCAAGCACTTTGGCGACAGTGGGAAGGAAAAACTCCCTTTTAACAGGAAGAAACCTCCGGCAGAACCAGGCTCAGGGAGGGGCGGCCATCTGCTGCGACCGGTTGGGGTGAGAGAAGGAAGACAGTATAAAATATGATTTGATGCAGAGAGGTCTGTTAACCAGAGATGGGCAGTAACGCGTTACTTGTAACGCGTTACTGTAATCTGATTACTTTTTTCAAGTAACGAGTAAAGTAAGGGATTACTATTGCAAAATCGGTAATTAGATTACCGTTACTTTCCCGTAGGAACGCTGCAGTACTGCGTTACTAA